AGAAAAAAAGACATACTTCCCATGCTGCCCCTTAAAACTAATCCCCTCCGTGCCAGCCACCTTAGTCGCAACCCAAACCTGCCGAACATCATGCGGCTCCGCCGTGCCCGGATCGCCCTCGATCAGATTCTCGATCTCGCTGGCGAAGACCTTCCCATTGGCGTCGCTGGCGATGCAGGTCGGCGGGTCTGAGGGGAGAACGATGATGACGGGGCCCGCGATGTCCGAGGGCGCGTCCGCCGACACCCAGCTCTGGTCTTCGGCCGTGGATTCTTGCTCGGCGGTTTCTTCTTGCGTGGGTTTCGTTCCGGGAGTGGGTTTGCTGGGTGGGTAGGGCGCGCTGCGCTTTTTGGTCTTCTTGGGCTTGTCGCCTTTGAAGGTTAGTGGTTTTACCATTTTCTTTTTGGGGTTTCTTTTGGGTTGTTTGGGAGGGAGACGGAGGAGGAATTGAAGGTGGAGGGGGCGTTTTTGGTGGTTGTGTTTTGGGGTGTGGGTGTTGGAGGTGAAGGTGTTTTTGGTGGAGAATATTTATTTTATCTTATCGATAAGCGCGTGGAGTGACGTACATAGACGGAGTCGGTTTGTATGTTAAGAGGTGCATTTATCCGATGCATATTACTGAGCTGTCTAGTCAATTGGATAGTCCATGGAGATATTATCATTATCTTTTGAGAGTATTCTATTCAACTGGCAGCTCATACAAAGCACATATGTACCCTCGGTTGACTATGTTTAACTGTTCTATATGCTCAACACAAGATGATGATGTTTATCGCCTGTAGCACAATAAAGAATAGCCTGGATCTTTTCTCTGAGTTGAATGCTATCTTTCGTTCTACCAATAAAAGAATGCGTGATGAAAAGATAAAACCATCAAGACCCAAAGTCAACATCTGAAGATCTATGTATTATATGATATGATATGACCTATACCAAAAACAAACAGCCAAACATGCAGGGTATCATAATATATCCATCAAATACAGCCACCTAAACCAACGCCTGAGTAAAACCCAACTCAATCTGAATTCGCCCTCCGCATCATGAAATCGCGATGGACTATCCTATTGGTGATAGGCACCGGGTAGTACCCTGGCGGCAAAACACTCTTCTTACACATCGGACATAGACAGCTATTCCGTGTCAGTGAGGCATCGATGCACTCGACATGGAAGATATGACTGCAGGTGAGTTCGCGGACAGTAGACTCATGGGGGACGAAGTCCTCGAGACAGATGGCACATGTGGTTTGCGAGTGGCTCAGTCTCTTAAGTTTGGGCGGGCGGCCTTTGGCACAGCTGATTGAGGACTGAGACTGAGAAGGGGACGGCGTGCTGGGGGAGTTGTCGGCATCGCCCGACAATCGTTCGTCTCCTGGCTCCTTTTTCTCTTGGCTTTCTTTCTTGTCATTCTGTACCTCGTCTGCTGTGATGGCGTCGGGGTTTGTGTCTGTTTTCCCCTTTTCCTCCATGCATTCTTGGACTTCCTTGGACTGTACAGAACTCTTGTCGTTGGACTCAGGGGTGTCACCCAATGCGCTCCAGTCCGGATATGTGTATATTGGCAATGTATCCAAGATCTCCTGTGGGACTTTCATGAGGTGCAGACCCAGCATCTCCATATCTGCCTCTCCAGATTCAATCCTCCGTTGCAGCCTCTCCCGACGCCTCTTCTGTACTAGTTGATAGCAGAGCAGAACAATCATGCTGAGAACCAAGATTGTCCCTAGAATAGCAAGAATGAACCCCCAGAGACTGGGCATTTTACCTTGATCCCTCTCTATAGACCACTTGTTAGCATCCGTCACGGATGAATAACTGCAATACTTAGTCTTACCGAAATCAATAAGGCCAAGCAGCCGTATGTCAGGCCGACCTGTCACAGATGTGGAGGCATTGTGACCACTGTACGCATGGCTTGTGTTCCCCCAGTACCACGCCAGCTGATTCATGAGAGTCACACCCGCCGGACCAGGGATCGCATATACGGGGAGGATGTTTCGGTTCTTCCAATCCCCACCGTCTTTAAATGACCACGTCGGATCTTCAGCTGGCGGTGGTTTGGTATTATTGCTCCCAGGCAAGAAGAAGACCAGCGCATCGGAACCCACACGCTGCGAGGCGTCAATGAACGACTCAGCACATTCAGTGTTCACCCACGGCGCAAGGCCAATGGTCTGAAACCTGAATCTATCAACGTCGGGATGGCGGGTGACATGGGCAGGTATCAATGGAGCGGTGAGATTGTTGCACGAATCCTCAACATCCAGACTAGGAACGAACAGGAGTCCTCGTATTGGGGCATTTCCTGTAGTATTCTGGGAGGACAGTGTCTGAACCGTACCATCCACGACGAAGCGGAAGCTTGCGCTGTCCTGTCCTTCAGTGTAAGAATTTCCCTTCATACAATAGGTGGAGTCCCTTGAGACGTACGTTGGCCGATGGAGTAGTGTTCATCGCTCTCCCTGGACCTGGAAAGAGTGTGGCGGCCGTGGTGAGAGACTTCGCCGCAGCAGGTGGAGACATTGTTGGTATTTTGTTTCTCGCATATACTGTGAAAGGTGGAATCGGTTCCAATCAACGGAGTCGAAGACAGTGGCACAGCTTTTTCGGCAGGAACAATCATATGGACCATACACATGGCGAAACAACAAGAACTGTCTTACAACAGGAAAACCGGGGCTTAGAGATAAAACGAACAAAACATCTTCATTAAATTGCGCGGTCGAGACAGAATCTAAAGTATTGCACCTAAATCAGGAAGAATGTAAGGATTGAATTCGATGGTTTCAAGCGGAATGTTTGACAGGTCGCATGGTTGGCCGTGATGGTCGCTTCCACTGCCGACACTCCTCAACAGTGGTTGCGGTGAGGCGAAAAATTTTCTCCCTATTCCTGTATAGTGGTTGTATACATCCCTTGGAATCCCGTTGAATTCAGTCTTTTCTCCATGCCGCTGGCTTCGGGTTGCCGTTCGCAGTTCGACTGCATGACGTTTTCGGATATCTCCGCCGTCAGTGTGACGAGCCATTTCCATACCCACAACAAAAAGGCACAGGAAGCGAGACAAGTAAAATGGAAGCAATGCACTTTGCCACCTGGAATGTTGACGAGTGAAGAAACCTATCTCGTAAAGTAGATAATAGATAAGAATGCGGCTTTCCATCCATGTATGTATGTGCATCCCTAGCGAGCGGCATAGGGCGAGCAAAGCCACCTATATTGCATTATTAGTGGCTTTGATTTGCAGGACGGGTTATTAAACGTCTAGCCATGATGCCCACAGGTGTAACACTGGCCAACTCTTGGTGATCCTGGCAGCTTGGGTCGATAAATAGTAGAATTTCAGTTTACTTCAAACGAAGGTTCTCCACTTGCCAATCGCTTACTATATTTGGCAATCGCTGATCATCATCGATTGTAGAATCACGTGGCTACATGTGACCTCACGTGCCAAGTCTGGGGAAACATCGTGATATCCCGATAATGATGGAGTACAGAAGAGAACACGGCCAGAGCCTATTGCAGGGCTTATATTGATGAACTGCAACCAGTGATCGAAGCGCACTCCATAAAGCCCCGGAAACCGAACGAACGATACGCCAACCCCTGCCCGGAAATCGAATGATATGGGATATTAAAGCCATCCAAAACAAACATACAGCTCCACAACCCGCTCCTCAAGTTTAAACCCTCTTTCGGGCCATCATCACATCATGCCCTCCGCAAGCAAAGGAAAAGGCAAAGGCCGTGAAGCGCGCCCCTCTCGAAGCCGAAACACCACACCCAACTCGAGTTTCAGTGCCCCGACCACCGCCCCTGTATCCAGCTACCTCGACAATGATGTATCGAAACTGCTCGTTCCAGTTACCGCGCAATATGGAGAGATATTGGATCGGATGGGTGGTGTCGGTCCTATTCCAGATTCGAAATCGCTGGAGACATTGATGGAGCATCTGAAGACACTCAGTCAGCTGGCAGAAACTCGTAGCGATGCATGCGATGCTGGCATCAGAGAGCTGTCTCAAAAGCGGAAAGAGGTAGTGGAAGAGTCCGAGCACGACGGCGACCGTCCGAAAATGAAGCGCGAGGCAGATGATGAAGAGGAGGAATCGAAAGCGCCCAAGGGAGGGAAATTAAAGAAGCGCAAAGAACGGGGTAGCAGTTCAAGGGAAGATCGCCCATTAGCTCATGGCGCTCATGAACTTTCTCGACAAGATGGTGCGGAAACCAAAGTGGAGGGTGGTAAGTTGGCGCTCCTCACATTCACCTGAACCGCAGTCCAGCCCCGTCACTCATAAGCCGATTCCCTTTAGATTTGGGGCGCTGCTATGTTGCAGTCGCAGGCTAATATTTAATTGCTTTAGCTGCATCGCCTGTATCTAAAAAGTCGAAGAGTACATCGTCACTGTCGCCGCCGGAACCCAATTCCCCCAAAGTAAAGGCTGACACAGAAGCTGAAGCTCCTGGATCGCCCATGTCGGACGATAGCTCAGACTCGCATCAGCCTGAACCGGCTCCAGCTGTGCCGCAAATCCAAGTTTTCGGTCCAAATCCCGTGAGATTCGACGATCCGACCATATACCATATACGTGATGTCACCCCTGAGATGACCGATGACGAAAGGAAAGAAATTTACAGCGTCACTCGCTTCCCGGCCAGCGACTTAAGCCATATGATGGCTGGAGTAGCCCCAGATAAAGACTATAGCAACTCCAAGCCTACAAACCAGGTTAGCGCGAATACATTCCTCGCGTACGTCGAACCATATGTCCGCCCGTTGATGGAGGAAGACATTGCTTTCCTCAAAGAGAAGGTTGGTTTCCTTAGTTGATGCCCTAGTGCGCCTCGTAGCTAACTCGCACAGGGCGATCGAGCGACACCGTTCATCATGCCCCGACGTGGGAAGAGGCACTACAATGAGATCTGGGCCGAGGAGGATGGGCTGATGAATGTTGACCAGAACGGCAACAAGGAGCGTCTGCCCTTGAACCAGGGACGTGGGAACATTGACCAGGTGACAGACGAAACTATGGAAACGGACAAGGTCTCAGTTGGTCCATTAGTTAGCCGTCTCTATTCTTTACTACGATACGAACACCGCGCTCCCGACGAAAACCCTGGCACCAACGGTACAGTCAACGGGGAATTACCGAACGGTTCTTCACTCGGCGACGCAATGGACCTCGATCACCCAATTGGAGGAGACTCAGAAAGCAAACCTCAACCTTCCGCGACATCGTTCCCCGATGCATCCCCAAGCGGCTTCAAAGTGCCCGCTGCGAAGCTAGACCATGCCCAACTCGATGAGCGCCTAAAAGCAGAACTCCGTCACGTAGGGTTCCTAGGTGCCGAGGACAATCCTGATTACGACGCCCATTATGACGACGATATCGC